ACGCGAGTTATGTGTGTAATTGTATACTATTCTATATAAGAAAATGGGTAAGTTAAAAAAAGAGAATGGATTTGTGTAGAGGGGTGGCTAAAGAATACAATCTCTGGGTGATCAACTAAAGTGATATCGGTAAGATACAAGTCATGGCAGAATTATGTAGCTCGCACCTACGTAATTACAAAAGAATTTGAACATAAGGAAATCAAACAAAGATAATAATTAACGAAGATGGCAAGGTACGAAGGATACCAACATAAACAACACTAAAGCATGCAAGGCCACACGCACCTTTCCAAATAGACTTTCGTCCATGATGCGCAGACACGGGTCCTCGTCTGGAGGCAGAGGGATGCAGCTGGTCGTGTCCTTCTCCAAGACGCCGCAGGTTGAAGGTTCGCCGTCGAGCAACCAACTTCTCCCGAAGACGTCTGAAGACTCGACCAGACCCGTCCCTTGCGCTACGAAGTCGTCGTCGTCCTTGAAATTGCAATTACCTGGGAGAGCAAGTGGTGATAAGTGTGAGATTTTTTCAGGTTTAGGAGCTATTTGTAAGGAAGAGGGTAAGGGAGAGGGAGAGGGAGAGGGATATGGAGAGGGTGAGGATGAGGGAGACGGAAAGGGTGAGGGAGAGGGAAAGGGAGAGGGTAAGGGTAAGGATGATGGAGATGGAGAGGGAGAGGGAGAGTGAAAGGGAGAGGGAGAGGGTAAGGGAGAGGGAGAAGGGAGAGGGAGAAGGGAAGGGGACGGGAAGAGGGGAAGGGAAAGGGGGTGAAGCAAAGGATGGGGGTGAGGGAGAGAGGGAGAGGGAGTGGGGATGAAGGGGAGTAAGAGGGAGAGGGAGAGAGGACAAGGGAGAAGAAGAAGGTGAGGGAGAGGAAAGAGAAGAGGGAGAGAAGGAGCGAAGGAGAGGGAAAGAGAGAGAGCGATCGAGATATGGCAAAAGGGAGATAGGAATCCGGATAAAGACAGAAAGGACAAGTAAAGAGGAAGACAAACAGATGCGCCAAAGACTCACCGCAGAGTCCCTCAGTCTTATTGAAGTAGAGTCTCGACGGAACCTTGACCGAAAAGCCGTAATTCTCCAAGAAGAAGTTGACTTCCAGCTGAATCTCCGAGATGGCTGCCATGACCTGGACATGAAGAAAAAAAAACAATAAATCTGATCTTGACAGGTAATTAACTAGAGGACTTCGGGAGAAATATATAGTGTTGCAAATGCTACAAAATTCAACAAGACAAAAAATCGGGGTAAGAATAAACGAAAAAAACACAGCAATAATGGTAAGGAAAAAAATCTAAACACTGCCTAAACCTTATAAATAAAACAACGAAGGAGAAGAACAAGAAAGCACACGAATATACCACTCGCACGTTTTCTTCTTCTTCTTCTTCCCTCCGTTATTTCACAATTTGTTCAAGCACTTATCCTCCACGGCCTCACCTGCTTGGGATCGGGTTGTTCCAGAGCAAGCCAGGAATCTCGGTAGGGGAAAGCAGGGATGTTTTCGCCGTCCACTGTCACACTGACGGCGTCCTCTCCCAAGGCTTCTATGAAAACGGTGTGGTCCTTGTAGAGTACAGTAACGGCGTCGGTGCACACGGTCACAGGCTGTATTGTGCACTGCTTGTTTCGGGTGATCACCTAGAACGTGGAGTTATAATATTTAGTATGTTGGGATCACTTAATGGGTGTGTTATGTTTTTGTGTTGTATATTGTCGGTGTGAGATTTTTTTTCATAGTGTTAAGGCGAGATTATACGTTGTTTGCTTCATATGTGATCCCTTTCAGTGTGTAAATCATGGGGAAATATGCTCTCGCGCGAAGTACTCTCCCTGGCCATGAAAATAAGACATGATAGACTCCCTCCTTATGTAATGTACGGGGAGACCTTATCCTTAACAGACACGCACGTCCCCCTCACCTGGAAAGCATGCTGGCCGCGGACGTTCTTGTCCCTCGCGGCCACGTACGAACACTCGCCGTTGAAGGTGTAGTTCTGGCGATCGAAGGTCTGGTAGTGCGGGTCGCCGTAGCCCTCGCACACACAGTCTCCGCACTTCTCGGGGTTCACGCAGCGTTCTCCCTTGCGGACGAGGCCGGGCGAGCAGAAGCAGCCGGGCACGCACGACCCCTCGCGCTCCAAGCAAGCCGTGTCGTCATGCAGGTTCTCGCACGACTTCTCGCAGGTTGCGCGGAAGCAGTCCTGGTACCTCTCGCCCGGTCCGCACTCCTTGTCTGCAGGGCAACGCACGGGAATTACTCCAGCTTCATCTTCGCAAATACGGTCAGATGAAAAAACCGGAACTATATTCATCTCGGTGAGATATTACCGCTTGTAAATTCAACCTCTTAGATTAAATAAACACAATTACGTGGACTGCCATGGAAACAACATCAAATTCAATAGTTCCCACGGCCTATCTACCTCCCGACGGGTAAGAACAGGCCAGCACTCACAGCACTTCGTGACGATGCGCCAGTCGTCCAGTTTGATAGTGGAGTCCGTCTCGAGGCAGCGGGTCACGTAGTGGGTGAGGGCCTGGCACCGGCACTCCTCCATGTCCTTGCCCTCCCTCAGGCAGTCGCAGGTGCTGGCCACGCAGCCCTTCATGAAGACGGAGGGATCCACTGACGAATGGCACTTGGTGAAGGGGTCGTTTCTGTCAAGGAGAGAGGGGGAGAGAGAAAATAAAAAAAAGCTCACGTGACGTCGAAGGATAAATGGTTGAGACGTAAATGCGAGGAGGAAAGGTGAGACGAACTAACGGGGCCCTCTCTTCTAACACGAAAAAAAAGAAAAAAATATCGACAACCAATTTATTTCACATCTCGAAAACCCATACAGAATAAACAAACCAAACCAAACCAAGCCATGCCACAAGAATCCTCCTCCCCCCGCCTCCCCCCTTCCCCCTCCCCTCCCTAAGACTCACCGAATGGCCTCGCACAGAATGAAGGACTGGGCGGACTGCGCGACGCTGCACTTGGGCTTCTCCTCGCAGGGCTGGTCGTCCAGAGCCCACGACTTGCCATAGTCCTTCATGGTCGCCGCGAGCTTGCCGTCGGGCTTCGTTTTGTCGTCGTGGTCGTAGCCAGTGTAGAAGCCGCACAGACCGTCCACTCGGTTCAGGAGCTCCGCGTCCAGCTGGAAGGCGCGAGGGACTTCGTTTTAGAGTGCGTGTGGTTGTGAGGGATGGCGTGTGGTTGGGTGTGATTGCGTGTGGTTGGGTGTGGTTGTGAGGGATTGCGTGTGGTTGTGTGTGATTGCGTGTGATTGGGTGTGAGTGTGAGGGATGGCGTGTGGTTGGGTGTGATTGCGTGAGGTTGGGTGTGGTTGTGAGGGATGGCGTGTGGTTGGGTGTGAGGCGTGTGGTTGGGTGTGATTGCGTGAGGTTGGGTGTGGTTGTGAGGGATTGCGTATGGTTGCGTGTGATAGGGTGTGACTGTGTGTGGTTGAGAAGCTGATAGTGATAATAATAAGTCAATAGTAGGTAGAAAGAAGAGATGAAAATGAACTAAACTAACCATAACAAGAACAAGACTCTTAATTTACATGTGACTGTGAACGTGTGAACTCCCATATTAACAAAGGAAATCAGTAAAAAAAAAAAAAAGAAAAAGAAAAAAAAAAGAACGAAAGAAAGAAAGAAAAAAGGTGTAATTTTACCTCAATCCTGACGTTCATTTCAGTATTCCATTCGACGTTGAATTTGTAAACACTGGAGCTGAAACGGATGGAGTCGCCCACACGTGACACAGTGAAGGTGTTCTGGGAAGAGCCAATCCTCTGGGCCTGGAATGACAGGTGGGGGGGGGGAGGTGGGGGGAGGTGGGGTTAGAAGGTAAGTAGTAAGTCTAGTTTTATTTATGTTTTTTTTTTCATTCACATGTCCACTCATTTACTCGTGACTCATCCACTCATTTACTTATTCACTCTTTTTCTCACTCTCTCACGCACTCAATCACACAAACAACTCACTCAACCTCTCCCTCCACTCTTTCCTTCCTCCTCCCTCCCTCCCCCTCTCTCTCTCTCTCTCTCTCTCTCTCTCTCTCTCTCTCTCTCTCTCTCTCTCCCTCTCTCTCTCTCTCTCTCCTTCTCCCTCTCTCTCTCTCTCTCTCTCCCTCTCTCTCTCCTCTCTCTCTCCTCTCTCCTCTCTCTCTCTCCCTCTCTCTCTCTCTCTCTCCCTCTCTCTTTCTCTTTCCCTCTCCCCCACTCTCTCTCTCCCTCCCCCCTTCTCCCTCTCTCTCTCTCTCTCTCCCTCCCTCCCTCCCTTCTCCCTCTACTTCTCCTCCTCTCCCTCTCTCCATCTCTCTCTCTCCCTCTCTCAAACACCACACATAACACCTTCACACATTTCCCACACCTCTCTTCAAAACAAACACACAAACACAACGCTCCTTGGGGGGAACCTTACCTGTGAGACGGTGTAAGAGTTTTCGTCCCACACTATATGAAGGTCAGGCTTAAGAACGAGTTGCTGGTCATTCTGCGTTATCTTGAGGTAGCGATCACAGCTATCACTGTAGGAACAGTTGCGGTGCACTGTAATTAAGGAAGAAAGAGAGAGAAAAAAATATATATTAGAGACATGTAATAACCTTCGGCGTTCGTGTATTCGACTGGACTTTGTATAACAGACGTCTACGTTTTAGAACACAGGCGACGTACAAACTTCCATGAAAACAAACATGAAGTTCAATCTTTATAAAATCCAAACATCGATAAAGAACATTCACCTAATAATTCACCTATTAATAATAATAATAATAATAATAATAATTTCCCAATACAGAACATTCACCTCTAAAAGAAATAATATATAAACACCTTTAATGAATTTACTCCATTGCTTCCGTCAGACTCGCCACCAAAATAAACCACAACTATCTCTCACGCAGCCAAAATAAATCACACAAAATAAGTAAAAAAGGCACAAAATAAACCGTAGATACCTCACGCAACCGAATTAAACCACAAAATAAACCATGACTATCTCATGCAACCGAATTAAATCACAAAAAAAAACATGATTATCTAATGCAACCGAATTATACCACAAAATAAGAAAAAACATGGCTATCTCACGCAACCGAATCAAACCACAAAATACACCAAATGAAAAAAAAACATCTCTCTCTATCTCTCAAAACACCCCATCGGCCTCGTCCCAACCCTCAACCAGCGACTTCGGCTTACTTGAAATCACCCAGTTCTTGTTCATCTTGTCTTCGGCCAAGATGTGGTTGCAGGGCTCGATCTGGTAGTGCGAATCATCAAAGGAATCGAACGTCCGCCCATCAACGTTGCAAGTGGGCGTGATGTTCCTCGGCGCTTCGGGCAAGGGCGTGGGCGTCATTCCGAAGGGCTCTGTTTAGGGGGTGGGCGGTGGGGGGGTAGGGTTGCTCGGTTAAGAATTACGATTAAAATGAAAGATAGATAGATAGAAAGAAAGAAGAAGAGAATAGATGATAAGAAATATTCGTTGGATGTGAGGCAAAAATCATTCGCTCAAAGGTTCCAAAAGAAAAAGAAAGAAAAAAGAGGAAAAACGAAGAAAAATAAAAATAAGAAAATAAAAGACAAACATTTAATCTCGATGTGATGAGAAATATCATCTTGACAAAAAAAAAAAAAAGAAGAAAAGAACGTATATAGAAACAGTTATTAATCGTATCGGGTTTGTCCAAGTATCATAACTGTTAACTCTGTCACTAAAACATTTCTAAAAGTGTAAGATATGCAATCTCTCTGTCAATTATATAAACATATATGCACAAACACCGACACGTTCTTAATACTTACTGCAGCCAAAGCGTGGACACATTTCATTAGGGTTAACCTGGTAGAGTTCTTCATCTGCCTTGCAAATCGGCAACTCCATCTGCAATACGAAGGTGGAAAGCTATAATGCAACCCTGATTTTATTGCGATTTATGTATTTATTTATTTTTTTAATGAGAAAGAAAGGTAAATGTAATTATTTATTTATAGATTGAGGAGAGGAAAAAAAATGGTTGGACATGACTATAACACAACCCTGATGTATCGATATTTATTTATTTATTGAAAGCAAAACTACTACACAACCTTGATTTACTACGATTAACTTATTCACTGAGAAAAAAAATGTACAGCACAACCTTGAATTATAGCGATTTATTTAACCACTGAAAGAAAGAAAACTACAACACAACCCTGATTTATTACGATCCACAAATCCCTTCAAGACTAAATAACAGAGACAAGGGTACCGTTACAGCATTATATACATAAAAAGAAGAGAATTTAAAGTTTTACGAACCGGAGGACACGTCACAGGAGGCTCCGTCGTGATGGCCAAGGGCGTAGTGACCTGGACACACGTGTACTGCGGACACGCGGATCCCTCTGCCGTGTGGATGTACATGGTACGCAGGCCTTCTCCGCACTCGACCGGCGGACACATGGTGGTTGTGACGATCGGCATGCATTCGTACTGAGGGGAGGGGGGGGGAGGGGGGATGTAAATATGTAAGTATGTATATTTGCACTCACGGACGTACGCACGCACGCATGGATACATACACACACACACACACACACACACACACACACACACACACACACACACACACACACAAACACACACACACACGAGTAAAAGAATGGCTTGTTTTTAAAGGACATATATGCTTTTAGAATTCCGTATCACATACTCTGGCGATCTCCCTTTCCGCTCCAGTACACATACAAAAAACACTGCATTAAATATATATTAAACCAAGCACATAAAACGACCAGAAAAAACAACACCAACGAAAAAAAGAAACAAAAAATCTCTCACCGGCGGACAGAGCTCCAACAGCGCTTTCGGATCGGCGAAGAAAATTTCATACCCCTGAGGGCACGTGGGCGGTGGGCAGGGCGCGGTGGGGGGCATGGGGGTCACACACTGGTACTCCGGGCACTCTCCGAAGGGCATCTCCGGGATGATGTCCTCTGAGGTCTGGACTTCATACCCGTCGGGGCACAGAAGGGGCGGGCATTCAGGGGGCGCCATGGTGGTCGACGGCGGAATGCACTCGTACTTGGGGCACATCTCGTCTCCCTGGGAGGAAGGGAAGGGTCTTGTTATAAAAGGAGGGAGGGAGGGAGAGAGGAAGGGTGGGAGGAAGGAAGGAAGGAAGGAAGGAAGGAAGGAAGGAAGGAAGGAAGGAAGGAGGGGGGGAAGGAAGGAGGGGGGGAAGGAAGGAGGGAGGAGAGAGAGAGGGAGAGAGAGAGAGAGAGAGAGAGAGAGAGAGAGAGAGAGAGAGAGAGAGAGAGAGAGAGAGAGAGAGAGAGAGAGAGAGAGAGAGAGAGAGAACGAAAGAGAGAGAGAGAGAAAGAGAGAGAACACACAAAAAAAGAAAGAAAAGAAAAGAAAGAAAAGAAAGAAAAGAAAAGAAAAGAAAAATATAAACATACATACATACATACATATATATATATATACATGCATATATATATATACATATATATATATATATATATATATATATATATATATATATATATATATATATATATATATTATGTATATATATATATATATACATAAATGAGGAACAAACCTTCTTGGGCACGAGGCTGATATCGTAGAGAGGCGGGCAGAAGGGTATCGGGCATGGCATGGGAGTTGTCTTCGCCGGCGGCTCGCACTTGACGATCGGGCACAAACCTCCTGACGAACGCACGGTTAGCTCCCAGTGGTCGGGGCAATACGGCGTAGGGCACGGAGATGGAATTACTGGAGGAGGAAGAGGAGACGCAGATGACGAAGAGTGAAAGGCATGGTAAAGGAGAATGATAAATTAAATCATTGGAGAAAGGAGAGGATGGAGAAAGAGGGTAAGCTTGAAAAAGACCTTATGGAATTACTGGAGACGAAGAAAAAGAATAAGAAAAAGAACAAGAATAAGGACTAAAAGCATAAACAACAGGTGAATATTCGTCTAAGGATAAGAATAATAAAGACCCCATACTTGACATAGGGTGAATAAACTGTGAGACTGTTACACATAAACAAACAAACAGCAAATAATTCTTCACTTCTCCAAAAAGAAAGAAGAAAATAATAATCACACACACATACACGCACACACACACAAACACACACACACACATATATATATATATATATATATATATATATATATATATATATATATATATATACATATTTACACATGTATGTACAAATATATATATAAACACAAAAATACCCCATAACTACCCAAAATACCCTCCAAACACCCTAAAACTACCCTTAAAATCCCCCACCCCTACCCCCCCACTCCCCCCAGAACCCTAAACTACCCCCAAAATTACCTGGAGTTGTCGAGGGGCACTCCAGCTCGTCCTCAGGGCACTCAATCACGCCGTTGCACCAAGACGTCTCGTTGAGGCAATAGTTGATCGAGGGGCAGAGTCTCATGCCCTCGGGACACGGCTTGCAGATGCAGTTGCAGGAGGATGTCAACACGCCTTGCTCGTTCTGAAAGTAGTAGGGAGGAGAGAGGGGAGTGGGGGGTTATTTTGTAAGTAGGTTGGCTGGTTGGTTGGTAGGTAAGTAGGTAGGTAGGTAAGTAATTAGGTAAGTAGGTTGGTAGGTAGGTAGGTGGTATGTTGTGTAAAGAGGTATTGTAAGTAGGTAGGTAAGTAGGTAAGTATGTGGTATATTATGGAAAGTATTGTGTGACATGTAGGTAGGTAGGGTGGTGTGTGGTAAGTAGGTAGGTTGTTAGTAGTTTGGTTATTTGGATGAGGTAGGTGTGAGTAGTTTTATTTGTGTAAGTAGTTTAATTGTGTAAGTATTAAAGGGTAACAAGTAGACATAGTCGGTAGGAGGTAGGTATGCGTTGTTTATATATGTAAGAAGCTTATTTATGTAAGTAGTAAATTGAGTACTAGGTAGATGTGGGTATATTATCTATGTAAGTAGCAGGCGAGGTACAGGCAGAGTAAGTAGGTGAGAAGTAGATCTAAGTAGTTATTATTTGCGCAAGGAATAGGTGAGTAACAGATAGGAAGTAGATGTAAGTAGTTTATTAATGTAAGCAGCAGGTGAAAAACAAGTAAGAGTAGTAGGCAGTAGGTATATGTAAGTAGTCTATTATTTACAGGGTAGAATAGTAGGTAGAATTTAGTGTAATTTATCAATTGATTGCGTAAGTAGAAGTTGGAAGCAAATGTAGTTTATTCATTTCTCTTTGTAAGTCATAAGGCAGTAAGTTGAAGTAAGTAGTTTATTTATTCATTCATTTAAGAATATAGAGTAGAATTGAAGGTAGATGTAAGTAGTTTATATACTCACTTATGTAAGTAGGAATAAAGTGGTAAGTGAACGTAAGTAATTTACATATCAATTTACGTTATAGTAAAGCTTTGGAGTAAGTAGATTAATTGTATGAAAGCAAATCATTATTGCAGAAACGCGGCAATGTGTACAATCATGCAACAACAACTGTTTATTTGAAGTGTAGGTGGATTGTTGCTAAATGGAAAGCTGCAAATGTTGCGAATGGGAACGTTGCAAAGAAGGATTAAAAAAAAATGTAATGTTGAAAAAAAAAGATACAAATAGAATGTTGCTAAAAGAGAATGTTTCAAAAGAGAATGTTGCAAAAAGGGAATGTTGCAAAAAAAGGAATGTTATCTAAAGGAAAACTGCAAAAAGGGAATATTGTAAAAATGAATATAGCAAAATAGAAATGTTGAAAAAAGTCAACTTTACAAAAAAAAAAAAAAGAAGAAGAAGAAAAAAAAAGTGTTGCAAAAAAGGGTATGTTGCACGTACCTCATTGCACGGAGAGCAAGTCTTCTCCTTGCACTTGGACACGCCGCCCACTAGACAATCACACTCCTCGCAATCTGACGTTACGAAGACGGAGCCGATGTCGTAGCTGCAATGATAGATATTATCTATTTAGATAGATAGATAGATAGATTGAGAGATAGAGTGATAGAGTAGATAGATTTTTAGTAGTTAGTGGACAGTGCGAGATAGATAGAGAGGTAGATTGATAGAATAGATAGATTTTAGTGGTTAGTGTACAGAACGAGATAGCTAAATTGATAGGGTAGATAGATTTTTAGTAGTTAGTGGACAGTGCGAGATAGATAGAGAGATAGACTGATAGAGTAGATAGATTTTTAATAGTTAGTGGACAGAACGAGATAGATAAAATGATAGGCTAGTTATAGTTTTAGTAGTTAGTACACAGAGCGAGATAGACAGAGAGATAGACTGATAGAGTATATAGAGTTTTAGTAATTAGTGGACAATTGTTAGGGTAGTTCTAGTTCTAGTAGTTAGTGGACAGTGCGAGATAGATAGAGATAGACTGATAAAGTAGATAGATTTTTAGTAGTTAGTGGACAGAACAAGATAGATAAATTGATAGGGTAGTTAGAGTTTTAGAAGTTAGTGGACAGTGCGAGATAGATAGATAAATTGATAGGGTAGTTAGAGTTTTAATAGTTAGTGGACAGAACAAGATAGATAAATTGATAGGGTAGATAGATTTTTAATAGTTAGTGGACAGAACAAGATAGATAAATTGATAGGGTAGATAGATTTTTAATAGTTAGTGGACAGAACAAGATAGATAAATTGATAGGGTAGATAGATTTTTAGTAGTTAGTGGACAGTGCGAGATAGATAGAGAGATAGACTGATAGAGTAGATAGATTTTTAGTAGTTAGTGGACAGTGCGAGATAGATAGAGATAGACTGATAGAGTAGATAGATTTTTAGTAGTTAGTGGACAGTGCGAGATAGATAGAGATAGACTGATAGAGTAGATAGATTTTTAGTAGTTAGTGGACAGTGCGAGATAGATAGAGAGATAGACTGATAGAGTAGATAGATTTTTAGTAGTTAGTGGACAGTGCGAGATAGATAGAGAGGTAGATTGATAGAATAGATAGATTTTTAGTAGTTTAAATTGATAGGGTAGTTAGAGTTTTAGTAGTTAGTGGACAGTGCGAGATAGATAGATAAATTGATAGGGTAGTTAGAGTTTTAGTAGTTAGTGGACAGTGCGAGATAGATAGATAAATTGATGGGGTAGATAGAGTATTAGCAATTAGTGGATAAGGCTAACCGAAATACATTAAATTACGAAAAAAAAACAAGAAAAAAAATGACAGAATAAATGGACTACAAGAACATTCCCACAATACAATATCCACTCCAAAAAAAAAAAAAAAAAAAAATCCTAAAACAACACCAACCACAAGAAACAAAATGAATCCCCACCAAGAACCCAACTTTTCCTTTCAACAAATCCTCCTTACCTGTGGCCATCCTTGTAACACGGACAGACGGCCTTCGGAACGCAGCTCTTGCCGTCGAAGAACCTGCCGGAGGAGCAGGAGGCGCAGCGGTCGTAGAACTCCTCCGGAAGGCCAGGACAGGGCGTGCACGCAGGGGGCGGCGGGAGGGTCGTCGTCTCCTCGGGCTGCGGCGTCGTGGTGATTTCGGCTGGGGGGGGAAGGGGGGGAGAGGGGGAGTTGAAGAAGGTGGGTTGTTTACGTTTATTCTTAAAGTTATTTTGGTGGTTGTTGTTGTTGTTGTTGTTGTTATTATTATCATTATTATTATTATTATTTCGGCTGAAGGGAAGGTAAGTGGGACGTGAGTTATAGAAGGCGGGTTGTTTACGTTTATATGGTAAGGAAGTTTCGGTTATTATCACTGTTATTATCATATATACATATATATGTATATTTTTGGAGGGTTTATAAGTTATTTTTCATCATCGTTGTGTTTTTTTGGGGGAAAATGTGTCTAAGTTACAATCTATTATCATTACTGTTGTTTTTTTAGGGGCAAAAGGGGTTTCTGAGCAGGCAAAGATATCCCATAGTCCTAAATATCATGTAAAATATATAAGCAGAAATATGAAATACATATATCAGCAGAAGACACAAGTTCGTATCCCATATGTATAATTCCTCAGAACTCCATCCCTCGCCAAGTCACACTTACGATAGGGGTGGAAGCAGCCAAGGACATCCAGTCTCATGGCGATGTTTGAGTTCCAGGTCTCGGGTCTGACTTCCAGGTAGCGGGCCTGAATCAGCTGATCGAATTTGGTCTCGAGGGGTGTATTTCGGTCGTAGTTACCGATGAATACCTGTTGGGGGGGTGACGGAAGGGGCGTTGGAGTGCATTATGATTTTGTTTTTGTTTTTTAGTTCCATTCACAACTATAGGAGAATAGTTATATTGCTGCATACAATGCGTGACTACTTCTATGGGAGACTTCTACGGGCACACAGACACATGCACACACAAAAAACACACACACACACACACACACAGACACACAGACAAAAACACACACACACACAGACAAACAAACACACACAGACAAACAAACAAACACACATACACAGACAAACACACATAGACAAAAACACACACACACACACACGCACACACACACAAACACACATACAGACAAACACACACACACACACACACACAAACACAAACACACAAACACACAAACAAACACACACACACACACACACACACGCACACACACACACACACTCCCTCACCTTTTCCGTCCCATCCGGCTCCTGCAGCGTACTCCAACTCTTGCCGTCCTGTGAATATCGAACTGTGAAGGATTCTACCCATTCGTCTGCGTCTGAGCGTCCTTGCGTTATTATTCCGGAGATCTTGCTCGGTTCCAGGAAGTCAAACTACGGGGGGAAAAAAAAGGTATTTGTTATCGGTTAACTTCTGGGCCAGTGTGGTGTTCGATGGATAGAAAGATAGAGATAGATGGATATGTAAATATACTTTTTTTAAAGCTAAGTACTTCTACAGGGAAAAAAAACACTGAGTAGAGTTATATCTAAAAAAAAAGTCACCATTAAAACTTCCCTATTCATCCAACAAGACTGATAATAAAACACAAAACAAAAAATCCTCCCAACCCACTGCTCCTAAAAAAAAAATATATATCTCCCTATCTATCAAGAAAGACAAATACAAATTATCTATTCAAAACTCACCCTCACAAACTGCTCGGGCTTCGGCTGCGCGACCCAAGCCCCGGCGGCGGTATAGAACTCAGGCTTAGAGTCGAGACGAATGTTTTTTTTGCCGTAATATAACTCGTCGTCGTTGAGGACAGAAGAAACCGTAATCTGCAGGAGGGAAAGTTCTCCGTTCTCCACACCCATGGGCTCCTCGCACTCCGGTGTTCCTGCGAAAAGAAAAATGAAACAAAAAGATCCAAAGAATTAATAAAAAAATAATAAATAAAAGCCCAAAGAAAAACAAAACAAAAAAGAGAGAGAAAAAAAAAGCATAAAAAAGAGAACTAAAAAAAAAAAAGCATAAAAAAGAGAGAGAATGAACTAAAAAAACAACAACCCAAAAGCATAAACCTCTCAAAAAAAACCAAAAACCAAAAACCAAAAAAACACAAGCCGCCCACACGTTACTCACTGGGCGTCGTATAGAAGGGCACCGGCGTCGGGAGTTCGCAGCCAATGACCTCGAATCTCATAGAGATAGACCGCACCCACACCGTCGGATTTACCCTGACGTATCGAGCCTCAATCGGTTTGTCGAACATCTGCTTCTGTGGCGCCGAAGGACTGACAGGCCCTCGGAAGTCCTGTGGAGGGAGAGGGACATCCCAGTTATATTCTTGTTTTGGTTTGTAGGTTCTGATGAAGGATTTGGCAAGAAGGAGAAGGAGCAGGAGGAGGAGGAGGAGGAGGAGGAGGAGGAGGAGGAGGAGGAGGAGGAGGAGGAGGAGGAGGAGGAGGAGAAAATGAAGATAGATTTTTTAAGATAGGTAATTGAAGAAGGATGTGAGAAGAGAAAAAATATAATCCGTAAAAAAAAGGAAAAAGAAAAGAAAAAGAAGAAGAAGAAGAAGAAGAAAAAAAAAAGATATATAATTTGGATTAAAAATTGAGTTGAGGAACCGACATCCTAACATCTCCCCTCAATCCATTTCCCAGAAGAAGAAGAAAGAAGAAGAAAGAAGAAAAAAGAAGAAGAAAGAAGAAGAAAGAAGAAGCAGAAGAAGAAGAAGAAGAAGAAGAAGAAGAAGAAAATAAAGAAGATGAAGGAGAAGAAGAAGAAAGAAGAAGAAAGAGGAAAAAAGAAGAAGAAGAAAGAAGAAGAAGAAAGAAGAAGCAGAAGAAGAAGAAGAAGAAGAAGAAAAAAAAGAAAGAAGATGAAGGAGAAGAAGAAGAAAGAAGAAGCAGAAGAAGAAGAAGAAGAAGAAGAAGAAGAAGAAGAAAGAAGAAAGAAAAAGAAAGATGAAAGAAGAAAAGAAGAAAGAAACAAACAAAGGAAAAAAGAAACCGACCTTGGGTGCACTCTTGGGGTTATCGGGGTCGGAGGTCACATAACTCCAGGTGGAACCATCGTCGGAAACCTGCACTCGGAAGGCGGTGACCCTCTCCCTCGTGGTGGGGTTTCCGCCCATCTCCAGCCCGTAAAGAGGTTGCACCGAACCAAGGTCGATCTGCACGTACTGGTTCTGGTCGTTGATGTACGGACTCCAACTCTTGGCTGTTGGGGGAGAGAGGGAGGAAGGGAGGGAGGTACTTAAGATTTGAGATTTAAACAGCTTTATTTGGTCAACTATTCACATAGCATCTAAATATATATATATGTATATGTACATATATGTATGTATATATATATATATATATATATATATATATATATATATATATATATACATATATATATATATATATATATATATATATATATATATATATATATATACATATATACATATATACATATATACATATATACATATACATATATATATATATATATATATATATATATATATATATATATATATATATATATATATGTGTGTGTGTGTGTGTGTGTGTGTGTGTGTGTGTGTGTGTGTGTGTGTGTGTGTGTGTGTGTGTGTGTGTGTGTGTGTGAAAATAAAAATACTACTACTACAACTAATAATCATAATAAGGCGTTATATCCCCAAAACCGAAGTGGAAAGAGGGGGGAGAAAGAAGGAGTGTTAGAAGATCTTACCTGTGTTATTATCTGTGTATGTGTGTTCATCCATGCCGAGGCTGATGATAATTCATTATTAATGAATAAACGATGAGGAGAAAAAAAGATAAAAACAAAAACACATGGATACGAGATTAAGATCAATCCAAGGGAACATCCTTAAAAAAAAGAAAAAAAAAGAAAAAAGAAAAAAGAAAGAAAATAAATCGAACGGACAGATACCCAGGGGAACTTACTGTTAAGAGAACCGTCGTCGTTATAGAGGCGGGCGTTGGCTGGACCGAAGAAGGAGTTTCGGGCGCGGGTGGAGGAGAAGGCACTGTCATCCACATTCTTCAACAGGTGGATGTACCTGAAGGGAGGTGGAACGTTTCATTCTCTCTGATGTGTGGATTTCTGTATTTTTTCTCTCTTGTTCGTTCGCTTGCTCTCTCTCTCTCTCTTTCTTTATCTGTCAATGTTTCTTTCCCTCTCTCTCTCTCTCTCTCTTTATTTATCTATTTATCTCACTTCCTCCCCTCTCCTCTCTCTCTCTCTTTCTCTCTGACACTCTGCCTCTCTTTCTCTATAATCGTTCTCTCTTTCTCTCTCTCACTCACGCTCCGTAATGTACACATAAATACCAGTAAATATCACATGAAACACACTTATTACGGTACACAATTATGCATGAGATCCTGTTGCATTTTTTTATCAAGAAACAACGCTCAAATGCAACATATACCAACTGCAGAGACGTTTGCTTAACCCGTAATTAACTCACTTGTCCGGGTCGCACACGGTGGGAGGAGTAGCGAACGGCGGCACAAAGGTGGTCGTTATTACGGTCGTGGTCTCTGTAAAGAGGTTTTCACGTTATCTTTGTACGGGCAAAGATTTAAGAAAGGTGGTGATTATTAGTCGATCGATGGGAAATTTAGCACTACAGCACTGTTGCATGTTCTAATCGAGAGATACCTTTCAATTGCAAAATTCGTATTACAGTATTCATCCCGTTTCCTTTTAATATAGAATATATCGTTTATTTGCAAATGCGTATTGTTGTATAAATCCCGTTGCATTTTAAAACAAAATATACCGTATATTTGCAAATTAATCTCTACTGACCCATTACACTCTTAACCAAGGGATATAGACAAACCGCAAGTGCAGTAGTATCTGATTTTGTAGTCGAGGCAACGGCCGCGGTCCTGGTCGGAGTTCTTGCAGCTGAAGCCGTATCGTACGTCGCAACTGGTGCCCCTGTCTGCTGCCACGCTCTGTCCCGTGGCCGCTTCTACGCACTCGATGTCCGCCAGCTGGCCCTGAAGGAGGAAGGCAGTCGTCGTCAGTGAATGATTTTTAAAAAGTTATTGGTTGCAGATTAGTTTTTGTTTCAATTGGTGGGTTCTTTTAGGTTTATTTCCCCCCAAAAAGAATAGAGTTTGTGGTATCAATATTGGATGGCACGTATTACTCGATGTTCAAGCCTAACATACTCCAGAAACCCTCAGACCCTCAAGAACCCGAAAAATAACATCAATAACACCAATAACAACAATAACAAATAAAACATAACAAAAAAAACACAGCGACCTCAACATGCCCTCTCGAAGACGCTTACCTCCAAACAGAATCCGTACACGTCTTGCAGTTGCTGGAGTGACATGTACTCGATCTCCAAGTCCCCTTGCCATGGTCTGAACTGGTTGACCCAGGGGGACCAGGCGTCGCAGGGAGCCAGGGTTACCACGGGGCCGAGAGCTGCGTTGAGACACAGGGTAATGTAGGTGGGGATTCTTTCGGGCGAAACGTTTGTTTACGCATCCGCCGTGAGGAGAAAACGTTTTGAGATTTTTCTTTTTTACATGATGTATTAAATTAATATCCAGCTGAAGAGAGCGATAGGTGTGGCATATGATAAAATGAGTATAAATTATGATAACATGATCGTTCTCAAAAGACAAGCAAAATAACAACAAAAACTCGTTCTTCACAGCAGAGTAAAAGCCAATAAATAAAGTCTTAGAAGGAGAAGAGACAACTTTTGCAAAGACGCACTGGTTTCCGGAGGGCTGACGGTGCTGCCTTCCTCACACTCGCAGAAGAAGGAAATCTCGTAGTCATAGCAGTCCTTATCATTCTCAAGGTTTATACATCTAAGGCCGTCAATTGGATCACAAGTCACAGCCTGGCCTAAACTGGCTGCGTGGAGCTTGGCTGTTCAGAACGGAAGAGTCGAGTGAAAAAAAAAGAAAGTAAGAAAGAAAAAAAAAAATATAGATGATAAATGTGTAATAATAGAATCAATGATAATATCTGTTATCTGTGTAACTCGAAAATCAATTACAATACGTGAACGAATGAATAATCTTGAAGAATATCCTATAGAACTTCGCTCAAAAATTACCAAAGGATATGACCACCTATCCACATAACATCAAAAAAGCAAGAAAG